ATATTTTCACTTTCTAAGTTAAAAAATATTTGAACCTATTTCTTGAAGACAATGTAAGTAGCTTCCAACCATACTGAATATTTGGCCTAGAAGGGTTTTCTCCTCCATTTCCTTACTTGTTACAGAATCTCTGAAATAGACAGGACCATGGCAGTCATACACTGTGTACAATACAGGAATATGCTTCTAAGATCTCTGGCAGGTGTTCATACAGCCTCTACTTAACTGTTTCTAGCAATGGGAAGTTCATTATCTTTAAAAGAAGTTTGTCCCATTTTTAACACTTTTGAGTACAAATTGTTAGTTTTTTCTTATATTAAGGCAATATTTGTTTCCCATTCACCTACCAATTCTGACACTGCCCACTGGAGCAGAATTACATAGTTCCTAATGAGGAATTTATAAAGGCAAGGATAGAACCATTCATTCCATCTCATTTAAAAATTAATCATAATGACAACAGCTACAATTTACAGTCATTAAAAATCCCCATTTTTCTCAAAATTGATACTGGAGCAAATGATTTTACGGCCTTTCTAGTAAACTATATTGTTTCAGACTTGTAGTTTTAGCCCATAGCAACAAATGTCTTTATTTTAGTTCTAGAAAAAAAAAGTAACATGACTGTACTGTTGGTAGGAATGCAAGCTGGTGCAGCCACTATGGAAAACAGTATGGAGGTTCCTCAAAAAATTAAAAATAGATCATATAATCCAGCAATTCCATTTCTGGGTATTTATCTGAAGGAAATGAAACACTAATTTGAAAAGATATGTGTACCTCTATGTTCATTGCAACATTATTTATAATAGCCAAGATACGGAAGCAACCTAAGTGTCCATCAATAGATGAATGAACAAAAAAGATGTGGTATATAGTATATACAATGGAATATTACTCAACCATAAAAAAAAACAATGAAATTTTGCCATTTGCAGCAACATGGATGGACCTAGAGGTATCATACTAAGTGAAATAAGTCAGATGTATAAAGACAGATGCCAGGCACCTGGTGGCTCAGATGGTTAAGCGTCTGCCTTCGGCTCAGGTCATGATCCCAGGGTCCTGGGATCGAGTCCCACATCGGGCTCCCTGCTCCTTGGGAGCCTGCTTCTCCCTCTGTCTCTCTCTCTCTCTCTCTCTCTGTCTCTCATGAATAAATAAATAAAATCTTTAAAAAAAAAAAAGACAGATACCATATGACTTAGCTTATATGTGGAATCCAAAAAACAACACAAAGGAACAAACAAAACAAAACAGAAACAGATTCATAGATATAAAAAACAATCTGGTGGTTGCCAGAGGGAAAGGGGTGGGGAATGGGCAAAATAAGGGAAGGGGATTAAAAGGTATAAACTTCCAGTTATAAAACAAACGAAAAACAAGGATGCAATGTGCAACACAGGGACTAGTTAATAACATTGTAACAACTTTGTATGGTGACAGATGGTAGCTAGATTTATCATGGTGATCATTTCATAACGTATCTAAATGTTGAATCACTATGTTGTGCACCTAAAACTAATATAATAGTGTATGTCAACTATACTTCAATTTAAAAAAAAAAAGAAGTAATACGAGGCATTTGAAGATAAAGGACAAAACTTTGACCCTCAACTGTGGCCTCTCAATTAGTAAGAAATGATTTTTTTGGTTACATATCTTGATGTAGAACCAGAAATTGAGCATATAGGACACTTCAAAGGATGAATTAAACTTTAAAAGGCAATAAGTAAAAAATGAAGGTGGGGAAATTGGAGGGGGAGACGAACCACAAGAGACTATGGACTCTGAGAAACAAACTGAGGGTTCTAGAGGGTTCTAGAGGGGGATGGGTTAGCCTGGTGATGGGTATTAAAGGAGGCACGTATTGAATGGAGCACTGGGTGTTATACGCAAACAATGAATCATGGAACACTACATCAAAAACTAATGATGTAATATATGGTGATTAACATAACAAAATTAAAAAAATAAAAATAAAAGATATAGACAAAAGGTAAACTTTTTTATGGGACATTACAGAAAAGCCCTAAATTTCTGTTCCTAAATTCATTGATCTATGGACTGAAAAAACACAGCTATTTTATAGACTGAGCCATGTAAAACTCTGAGCTCATCTAAGAAAGGGGACAAAGCAGATGCCCAGTGTGTGTTATTATTTTTTTGCTGTGCTGATGATTACTTTCTATTTCATAAGAGGAAATAGACCTGTGTTGAGTTTCATGGCTATTGATAGTCGCCAAGAATGGAATATGTGATATATACAGTGTTTTCTGCCTTCCCAAGACTAAGGGTGGTGTCTTCCTACAGAATGAAGATTACATTAGAGATGCATGAAATAGAAATGCTAAAGAGGTCCTGGAATTGCAAACCCTAACCTCTCCATCTTCAACCCATAAGCATGAATTTTGAAATTAGTTTTTTCTGAGTTAGCCAAGTTTGAAGGTTTTTGGAACACCTTTACCACCCCACCTTTAAACATAAAATTATTATTCTATACTATACAACAAAAAAAATCCCAATTATGTCCCATTAAGAAATGTATAGTTTTGACAAAGAGCAACCATTACCTATGGTGAACAACAGGGATACCTCAAAGTAGGCCAAGCCACCTTCTCCTTCCCATCTCAAGAGAAAAACCAGTGTATCAGCTCCTCTTAACTGGCTGACCCCTTCAACCTCTTGAAATAACCACTTAGCAAAAAGTATGTAGAAGTCCTTTGTGGATTACAAAGAACCATGCAAACCCATTTGTGTCCTTCCTCTAATTTATAGTCCCAGGAAAAGATTATAAAAACAAAAAACAAAAAACATTATTTACATTGCCCGGGGGACTGGCCGAGTCTCAGCTTGCCAGGGCCTGGCTGGCAAGCAGAACCAGAGAGTCTTCAGCTCTAGTAGCAATGGCAAGTGAAAGCACTACTGAGGCTTCAGCTGGGGCCAGCTGCCTGGTCCCTCCCAAACCCCTCAACCATGAGGTTGGGTTTGCCCCTAAGTAAGAAAGCAGAACCCACCCAAAGAGACCACAAATGAACCCTCACTGAGTTACTACCCCCAGCTGCCCTAAGAATGACAATAAACCTGCCTTACAGGGAGGAAGCATCCCTTGGCTCCTATGCCAAACATCAGGAAAACATTTGGGTTTGTGGAGGATGCCATGAACGGTTGGCCCTTCAAGCAGCAAGGCAGCCAAACTAGTTTGGTAGCAGGCCATTACTATGGATCTGATCTTCCCTAACTAGAGAGTTCGAAATATACATGGGGATTTTGACTTTCAAAATGCCATTCTGAAGAATGGTGCCATTATTACACAAACATAAGACTTTTTATTTAGAATATAACATCATCTTCTGTGTCGGCAATAAAGATTGAATATATGCCAGATTGATTAGTTGGATTCTTCAGGATCCGTGGTTCATACATTTTCCTCCAGGAAAGCTGGATATCAGTGCAGAAGACCAGGCTCCCCACCTCCCAAAGGAGGTAAGGGAGATGAGAGAAAGCCAAGATTCAGTCCCCCCCTGCCTTTGTCTGAGCCAGAGCAGTTTCACTTTTGTCTGCTTTATCTATTGGTATATAGGCAAGATTTGGTTTAACAGAAGTTCTACTTTAACAAAAAGCTTACAAGGAACTCAGGTACATTTTAAGTTCCTGAGTGGCAAGTTCACATAAGCTTGTTTTGTCCTCTCTTTTAATTCTAGAGCCAGGACAAGTGTGTCCAAAAAAAAAAAAAACTAAACGAAAACCTATTTGCCAAGTAACGAGGTCTAATTTGCAAGTATCAGAAGAAATTTGATTCATGATGTGCCATCTGGGCAATTAGAATCACATGAAAGATGGACATTTAGTTCATTCTGTCTCAGTGTAGTAATTCTATAAGAAACAGAATTGATTGTTCTGGTCTCTCCAGGGTGATAGGAGAGGAAGCCCCACCACACTAGTACTGTTATCAATTCTAAACTCCAAGGCTTCTGGATGCACTTAATACTAAAGTTGTTTCTTCACAGACTATATAAGATCCTGGAAAAGGGTACTCAGAGAAAGTAAACCAACATTTATTTAGGATCTGCTCTATATCAGGTGATGTTCTAAGCACGTTTCATACATTATCTCATGTAATCCTCAAAGAATCCTTATAACAAAGATACTATCAAACCTACTTTACAAATGGATAAACTGGGCCCAGGAGGCTTAAATAACTTGTCCATAGTTACACAACAGGTCTCCTGGGCTCTCTGAGGCACTTGAACTCTGCAGGGAATAGATCTGAGTTTAAATCCTGATTCAACCCCTTACTGCATGAATGACTTGAAGCAAGTCATTCCCCACTCCGAGTCTCAGTTTCCACATCAGTAAAATGAGGAGCCCTTTCCAGACTTAAAACCCCTTTGATACTCAACCTGATGTTACAATGGAAGCAGTTAAGCAAAAGAGCAAACACTTGAGCCACCCTGCACATAAAAACTATGCAGATTTGCTAAAAAGATGAAGAAAATTTAAAACATAATCTTCTTTTAATTAATATTCTTAGCAGCCTCCAAACTAAGTGAATATATAAGGAAAGATTAGGTTTGTGCATAGACAAGATTCTTGACTACAGGTTTCTGAGAACTCGAGAATTAACACAAATAAAGTACATGGTGCATTGAGTTAGTGCTAAGGAGTTTGGGGCAGAGTCCAGAGACACACTGGAATCCAGAAGGATCTGTGAGGTCAGGAATTGTTGGGGAAGTTTCAGGAAGAGGTTGAGACATGTAGATTGGCCAGGTGTGGGGAGAGGAGAGGCTTCAGGGGCTGGGTGGAACTGTGAAGATAGCCGATTCCACTCTAAAGCCAGGCCACTCTGTTTGATTTGCACAGACAAGCCCACGGGGTATGGCTCCAGCAGTCGGAGGGCACCTCAGACAGGCATCGTGGATGAGTGCTGCTTCCGGAGCTGTGATTTGAGGAGGCTAGAGATGTACTGTGCACCCCTCAAGCCTGCCAAGTCTGCCCGCTCAGTCCGTGCCCAGCGCCACACCGACATGCCCAAGGCTCAGAAGGTAAGCCCGCTGGTGGGGAGGGATCCACCATCCTCAAGATATTGAGGATAACTGTGGGTAGGCCAAACAAATTATGCCCCACAATCTCCCGGCTTACAGGTCAAAAAAAGCAGCATTCTCACCTCAGATGTCCATCCCTTTGGTCACTCCACATTGCAGATTCTTTCCACTGCTCTGGACTATCCGATACCAGAAGACAATGGAGAACAGTCACTAAACATAAGCTTTGGTATCAGACAAAACTGAAGTCCTAGCTTCACCAGTCACTGGCTGAGAGCCCTTGGCCAAATAACATAACCTATCCAAACCTTAGTTTCATCAGTAAAATTGGGATAATAATACCTTCTACATCAAGTCATTTTAAGAATTGATAAATACACATGCAATTCTTTTCACATCCTGCACAAAGTAACTGTTGGACAAGTGTTAACATCTTTCATAATTGTAATTAATAACAAAGCGTGTAACTTTTCAAGTCCTGGTATTCTGCAAAGTTGCAAAGAAAAAAAAATATGCTAAAATGGGAACTATTTGAAATTCACATTCAATGACAAACTTAATTAAAGAAAAAACCCATTAAACATAGAAATTTCTGTTTGGCTCTAAGAATACCTAGAAATTTCTAGTGATCAAAATCTGTAGGTGCCTTTTTCTATGACCTAGACTTCAAACAAACCTTAGAGTTACTATCTATGCCATCAAAAGTACATAAATCATCCGATGCATATTAGTCACTTGATAAGTTTTGTTGAATGAGTGAATAAATGAGTGAACAAATGAGAAGTGATTAAATTTTAGTCCTGAAGTAGAAAGAATGAGAACTGAAAAATAGGGGATAGGTGAAGGAGAAAAAAGAAAGTGAGGAAGGGTGAGTAAGGAGAGTAAAGCCCAAGTAGGTCTCCTTGGGGACACTGTTTAAAAAAACAAAAACAAAAAACTGTGGTTTTACTCTTTAGAGCCAAAACTAGCACTGTGCAGAAAGCATAAGAAGAGAAACCAAGAAGTCCACAGTGACACATGTGCTGCTTCCTGGTCCTACACTGCAGCTGAGCCTGGAGGAGGACCAGGGAGCTTAGTGGAGAGTGACCCCAGGGAGTCACCATGAATGATGGAAAGGGCTTGGGCATAATCTGGTGCACAGAGAACACAGTAGCCAGTGGGTAAGTCAGGGAGCAAGCATCACGGAAGTAACTTAGGTGAATGTGGTTGAGAAGTGTACTTGAGGGGACAAAGGCAAGTTAATTCTTTCTCTTCCCAGGTGACCCAGTGCCTCACAATTTCTAGCTGGGGAGGGGGTGGGGGTCAGAGATTAGTCCCAGAGTTCTAGAAGTTTGGGTCTTGTGACTGAGGCCTAGACATCCCTCTAGTACCAATGCTGTCTCCTGTACCACATGGAGCCCGGGCATTCTGGGCTAACTCAAAGGCTCTGTCTTCTGGGACACACCAAGGGAACCACCTGTTCTCAATGCAATTATTTTTGTGATGTTTACAGTATCATCCCCCATCTACCACCAAGAAAATGAAGTCTCAGAGGAGAAGGAAAGGTGGGCCAAAGAAATGCCCAGGAGGGGAACAGAAGGTGGGGACGGAAGCAAGTCAGCAGATGAAAGGAAAGAAGAAAAGAGCAGAGAAGGGAGACTGGAGCTAGAAACTGAATGCAGAGGCAAAAAAAAAAAAGGAAACTGGAGGAGAGAAGGACTAAGCAGACAGAGGCAAGGACAATGAGAGAGAAGCAGACAGCGATAAAGAAAAGTGGGAAGTGCTATAGAGGAATGAAGAACAGTAGGCCTGGTGGAGCTAGATAATGCATGTGATGGAAGGAGAAGGAACCTGTTGTAGAATGTGGATAACAAACATGGAGAGAATGAAAAGAAAAATATAATGCCCAGAGAAGTCCAAAGAAAAACAGTGGCAAGAATGAAAAAAGGAACACAAATTATAAAAGAGGCAAATAAGACACTACGTTACCCCCCCAAAAAAAAACAATTAAATAAGAGTAAAAGAATTAAGATAAAAATCAAGGCTTTTATATGCATTTTAAAATTTTGTGTGAAGCTATTATAGAAGAATTGGCCATGTCAATATATGTCCAGAGTTAAATATTAGCCCAAAATTCTCAGCAAGACTGAATTGTGTCATAGAAGTTCCCAGATTTCCTTTCCTGCAGTGTCATGGAGGCTAGGTTTCTTAGTCAAGTCCAGGTTCAGGCCAAAGGGCACTGAGTATTTGCCTAAAGGCCTGTGAGGCCGGTGAGATAACCTACAAGAGGAGGTCACTGAACCTTTCCTTTTTTTTTTTTTTTTTTGCACTTTGGAATCAGATATAAAAGATGTATTAGTTGTATTGGTCTGCTTGGGCTGCCATAACAATGTACCACAGACTGGGTGGCTTAAGCAACAGATATTTTCACACATTTGTGGAAGCTTGAAGTTCAGATAAAGGTGTTGACCTCATTTTAACTCAATTACCTCGGTAAAAACCCTATCTCCAAATAGGACACATTTTAGGTACTGAGAGTCAGGACTTTAACATATGAATGGCCAAGGAGAGACACAATTCAGCCCATAACAGAAGACTTCTGATGTCTGATTACTGCCTTCTAATCCTATCTCTTGTAAAGCTCTGTGTATGTGTCTATCTCTGTCTCACACACACACACACACACGCACACACACAAATCAAGTTTTTCAGATATGAAATCCTGTGAGTTTCTGTTCCATGGAAACACTAGGACAAAAAGCCTCTGAAGTTGATTGGTTCAATCCCTTCATTTTAAAGAAAAGAATACTGAGATCCATAAAAGGGTAAAGGCATGCTTGAGTTCTAAGCTGCCCTCCTTCTGGTCAGCAGAGAAGAGCACATAATCAACATGGACTAAGAAAGAATTCTGAAAGGAAAAGATGGGGCAGAAATAGACGGCACATGAAATCTTCCATTAACTTAATAGTTTTCCACCAGAAGGAAGGGCATGAATGAGAGCAAGGGGCTGGATTTCCCTGAAGATAAAAAAAGCTAAGTAGAATCACAGAATTTAGGTCTTGTAAATCTCCTTCAGCTTCTTTGATTTAATTAGTAGGCTTAGCGTCTTCATAGATATAAAACAAAAAGTCTCAAGATCATCCAAATTGTGAATTATAAGAGCTGAGAGAGGGTGTAGGAGAGAAGTGGTCAGCCAAGCAAATGATGACACTTGGGGTAAGAAGATGACTAAACCAAGAAGTGAAGTATTTCATCCAAGTAACCTACTTTGAAGATGTCATGGTATAAAGGAACCTCCTTTCCACCTGGTCCTTCATGCCCCTGCTGTTTTCTACTTCAGGATCATCCTTCCTCTATGGTGCAGTGAAAACCTAGGATATATAATAAATATAACATAACAAAACATATAAGGCCACGCCCAAGGCTCAATCCAGGAGGAAAAGGTCCAGTCAGAAACATGTCAAGCCCCAGATGGGAGCTAAGCCACTTCTGCTGTGGTTACAAAAGCCTGGCCTATCTGAATAGACAAGGGTAGGCTGGTGCCTAAGCCCATCTAGCCAGCCACCTTATTCAGGAGATGCTGAGTTCTTCCACTAAGACACCCATGCTTTGAGACCAGCCTCAGGCATAAGCCAATGTTAATTGTGACCACCACCTGAGAGTAGCCTGCAAATACAGATGGTTCTTCAAGTTCCACAGAAGAATTAATAATTCATGTCCTATGGAAAGGTTCCTTAGAGAATTATCTCTTCCCTATTTATTGTTGATGGTGTAAATGTCAATTATGACTCAAGGCTTTGGATAAACTATAATAATACTCTATGATAAGCTTCATTCAAAAGAAGTGAGGCAAAGACTCAGTGACCTAAGGAACTCAGTGACCTAAGAGCCGTTCCAACCCAAAGAACCCCAGTTCTATGAATAATTCCAACTTAAGTGGAAGCTCAGCTCTCCCATGGAACCATTAACTTTTATTTCAAGGTCACAGAATGAACTTTCAGAAAACCACCATTTTTCTCAACCAGTTAAAATCAAATGTAATATGTATTTTCATTTCTTGGTGCCTGAGGAAAATTTAATTGTAGCATGAACTCCAGCTCTTACTAGTTTTAAGTAAAATTGCCAAAATAAATAGAAATGTGGGATATTTCCGGGCTCACACAGCTTCCGGGACATTTCAGTTTCTAGGGCTGCCGATTCAGTGCCTTTCACAAGCATTTGATCTTCTTTCAAGCATCTCTTGAAAACAAACAAAACCTCATACAGCTTCAAATGTGCGTGCTGTTAGGATGTAAGGGTGGAAAAAAGGCAAAAAAAGAAGTCCGCCAAGAGCCCCTCCTCCCTCCCTTCACCCCTTGACCACCTCCCACCAAACACCAACAGGAAATTATGTTTTCTTAAGTAATACATTTTGCAATTTCTCAAGTCCATTAGCATCTATGGGGGAAAGATGAGGTCTATTCTCTTTACTTGTCTATGTGAAGGGAATAAGGCTTTTTCACTATTTAATAGGTAGCAGGGAGCTGACTTTTAATCCAAGGGCAAAGTTGATAGTTTGAAGTTAAAGTGGATGGCTTTGGTAGCAATAAGAAGATAAATTGTTTTAGACAAACCAGAATGCTCTTTTATGAGGTTAGGGATTTGGGGTGACTTGTTTTCCAAAATTATAGGTAAATATAATTTCTTGGCTTTTCTTTCAGTGAAGAATTCCTCAGGTTATATGCTCATCAAAATGATTAAAAGTCCAGCTACTAATTGCTATAAAAATCAGTGACAGTGATTTATTGACCTAAGCAAGACAAGCCCACATTTAAAGAAGGAGCAGGTGAGGTTAGCAAATGTTTTTCAGTGGCCACTAAACTTCCAGGTCAAAATCAGCTTTTCCATCCTCAGGGTGCTAACTGATATCGGAGCACTTTTCCCTGATGTCCACATGTTTGGGGTTCATCTTTGATGGGACTCTTTAATGCCTTTAGTGCTACCTCACTTTTATCCAGCAACCAAAAGAGATTATTTAGAAATACTGACTTATGTTTAAACTCAAAAAGAGAGAAAAAGAAAGAGAATGGCAGGGAAATTATGCGAGATGTGGACAATGGACCTGTGAGTCCGTATCTGGTACTTCTAGCGAGCAGCCAGGAAAGTTCTCACCATATACTATAAGCTCAATTACAGATCTGATGGGCTACCGCTAGATAAGTAACAAGAGCAAGAAAACATTTTGGAAAATTCCTATCTTTATTTTATTAGCTAATGTTCAGGAAATGAACTCTTTTGAAAAGTGGAAGTTTGGGGGCGCCTGGGTGGCTCAGTCAGTTAAGCGTCTGCCTTCAGCTCGGGTCATGGTCCCAGGGTCCTGGGATCGAGCCCCGCATCAGGCTCTCTGCTCAGCGGGAAGCCTGCTTCTCTCTCTCCCTCTCCCACTCCCCTTGCTTGTGTTCCTACTCTCGCTGTCTGTCAAATAAATAAATAAAATCTTAAAAAAAAAAAGAAAAGAAAAGAAAAGTGGTAGTTTGATAGAAACAAGAATGCATCCAACTAATTTTAATTCTAAAGGTTCTTGCTGGTAATTTACAATCTGTAATTAACTACAGAAAATAGTTTTGAGGAGAAAGGGATTCTTTTCTCTACTTTCTGTGTGTGTGTGTGTGTGTGTGTTTACATAGTTTTGTGTTCTAGCATTGTTGCAACCACTAGGGATTTGGGGTGAATCACTTTCCAAAATTATAGGTAAATACAGTTTCTTGGCTTTTCTTTCAGTGAAGGCAAATTCTTATGTGAAAACTAATCATCATTCAGGAGAAATCACATTATTCTTTTGTCTTCTCAAAGGCCCAGGTTTAGTGCTAAATTAAATATTATTCAGGAAATAAAGGCAACATTATTGAAGAGGGAGAAAGAAGTTGGTTTTCTTTCTATTATATCTTCTAAGGATCCATGGATTTCAACTACTTCCAATCTGATCTACAGAGAGAAAGAATGGCTCTGTATATCAGAAAACAGAAACTTTCACATAGAACCAATTTGCAACTTTAGCTTTCAGGACTAATTCTTGACCCAGCACAATCATAGTTCAGTTCATCCAGCCTGTCTTCATTCCAGCATCCCCTGCTCTTACTTCTATTAGAGATTGGGGTTATTGGCAAAAACTATCCAATGCCTTTTCCACCACTTTCCCCTTCTATAACTGTAAACCTCTAACTTCCTCAGTTCACTCTGGCATATATACACTTTTGTTCCCATTGGATCATACAAAGGTACATACATTTATTTGAGTAGGTGTGTATTACTGTCACTCTGGAAAGAAGGATGCAATAGTTTATACCATCTTCTCTGGCTTCTCTAACTAGTAGGGTAAGAATTTCTATAGGAAGGTGGGATGTTAAGAGCAAGACCTATGAAACACTGAGCATGATGGCAGTTCTTCTGTCTGGTAAAATAACCCCAAAGTTCCCACTGAGAGATCAAGAGATTATACATCAAACCCAAAACTGACCAAGTAGCCCAGTCTTCTAAGATGGGATGCTTATGCCAAATGTTTTTATAAAATTCTGTGTAAAATATATAAATGTTTATATGGGGCTTTCTGTCTGGCCAGCTCCAGGAGGTCAAGTAATCAAAGACCAATCATACCTGCCATCTGTGAAAATATGATGTGCTCTTTTCACAGCTATAAATAACAATTATGGCAAGACAAAAATCCCAAATGATTAGATACAAGACCATGGCAGGTTGAGGGTTGGGTAAGGATTCCTAATCAGTTGACTGTTGTAGACTTGGGAATATGCAATATTTATGTCATGGTGTGTGGGTGGCATGCTTGAATAGTTCCATGAGGCATTGCAGGACTAGAAAATAAGGAAAGTATAAATGAATCAATAAATACATAGCATTATTACTGTTACTTTGTCAATATCGGTTGACTTAGGCCACTGTTGGATGCTCTGGTTTGTCTTTCTGTAAATAATGACATTTATTTCCTTCTTCAAATGAATATTAGGATAGAGGTAGAAGTGATTTTGGCACAATGAAGCAATTCTGATTTCTAAAAACCGTATACACGCATGAATTGTTCTTGCACCATTTTCTGTTTTGGAAAAGCTCTGCTGGCACCATGAGTGTTTACTTTTATAAGCTGAAAGGCTCCCATCAACCTCAAACAGATGCAAATCACTTTAACTTGTCATAGTGTTATTTTGTTCATCCTAAAAGTTCAGACAAGCCTTCCAAACTTCCAAAATTTCTCTCAATTCAGCGAGGAGGAAAATTTAGAACACAGTATTTGAGTGTTCTGCCCAGATGTGTCACACATACAAAGAATGAGTGGAGGAGGGCAACACCCTTTCCTACCGATCCTGTGAACTCATCACTATGGCGTTAAAATGACACCAAAAGCTACAGCTCTGGGCCACACATCTCCTCAGAACATGGCAATATAAATCACTTCATATACTACTTTAAGTACTCCAGCATAAGTTGTATGTCAGATGTATGGCATTTTGGAGGCTTGAGAAAAAAAATAATCAAATCCAGTTTTTAGGTAAAAATGTGCTGAATCTTTAGCCCATATCAGTGAAATTGTTAGAATGTGGTGTTTCACTTTTTAAAATACCACAACATTTGAACCTTTCAGCAATTCCAAAGTCAACTCCCTCTGGGAAAGATAGTATGCTTAAACTTTTTTTTTTATTTAAAAATGTAACAGAAACACAAACAGCTAACTAAACAAGCTGCCCATAAAATCAACAGTGTAAGCAATCTGAACCCTGAAGTGTTTTACAACATCCTTCAAGACTATTAAAGGCAACGTAAATACCTCTTTCCAACAAGGGAAAATACCCTTCAGCACTTTTTTTCCTTTTCTTTTTTTTTTCCAGGCTTTTAAACAATTTTGGTAGTGATTTCTTACATCACAGACAGAAACATTTGAAATAGAGTCAGGTGGTATCCTTTGAAGAGTAAGAAAGTTGCTAAATCTGGATAATCCATGAATAATTATGGGACAAATATAAATTCCCTAGATCCCTAGGGATTCCTAGGGATGCACCAGTCTCTAGAAAAAAAGAGGTGTACATCTGGTATCCCAGCATTCCAGGGAGCTCTAAGCACTCAGTAAGTAGATTCCCTTTCTCCCGCCAGGGAAAGGCAACACCCTCCTATGGGATGTGCTTTGACAACAGTAACTATAAAAAGGGCAGTGGGCAGTAAGAATAGCTGGTATTTATTAAACACACGCCCAGTGGTAAGGATTATAGTGAATTATTTCAGTTAATCTTCACCATTAGATTATAGGCTAAATACTAAAATTATCCCCATTGTACAGATTTAAAAAGTTGGGCTGAGTATGGCTATATGTCTTGCCAAGGTCTTGCTCTAACAAGTGGCCAGACCAGAATCTAAACTGAAGAGGGACGCCAGTGTGTTAACCATGCACTGCACTCTCTTTTCTGCATTTTTCGTTGATACTTCTTGTACCACAACCCACCAATTGTAAGTTCCAAAACAGGAAGGGGCTCTGTGCTATTTGTCCCCATAGAGAGCACAGCAGGAAGTAGGAAGCCATGCAAGGGTTGCTATTTAAACTCTATACTACTACTTCTATAGAAAAATTTAAACAATTTAGCAAGCTTTTCCTGATTTGCTATGCTTGTTCGAAGCACCATGCATCTGGGGAGGATACAGAGGTGAAGGAAATATGTTACCTGTCCTCAAGGAGCTTACTTTTCAGTGGGGAAACAAACACAGACATATTTACTCTACAGCACATCAATGCTCTAACAAAGATAGAGGCAGAGTGGACTCTGATAGCACTGAAGCCTGAGCAGATCGATGTTGCTAATAAATGAGTTCACAAAATGGATCAAAATCAAGGGCCCTTGAAACAGTAGGCTCTCTCACACACAACTATGCCAGGTAAATGTGTAGGGGTGATCACCTGCACTCATAACAACATTATGAGGTGGGTGCTCTTACCCAACCCTTTCTTTTTACAGAAGAGGAAAGAGAGGAGAGAACAATGTAGTGATTCTCAAGGTCCCTTAATTCCTGTGTGGGGAGGTGGGATCCAAACCAGGTGTGTAAGCCCAGGTCTTTGGGGAAACAGATGAGACTGGGTTAAATGAGCAGGATTTTATTAGGGGAAATATCTGTGTGAAATGGGGCGGGGGGGGGGGAATCGGGAAGCCTGGGCAAGCCATTAGAACACAATGCAAGTCTGACCCCAAGTGAAGGAGAAGGGCCCATGGAGAGAATGTTGGGTGGAAATGTCTTGGACTGCTGTACAGTCTAAGGAAACGTTCAGAAAAGCCACTGAGGAGTCCTTGAATCAAAAGTTTGCCAATAAAGGAATCTTGTGTTTCCCAGGAATGGGTCTACCTTGTATCCCCAACATACTCAGTCTTATCTTTGGGGAAGATGTCAGCTCTGGGCCATTCACCATTGCCAGAGAAAAGGGTCATATTGGAAAAAATGGCCATTCCTACCATAACCACAGAAAAAGTAGGATGAGGTAATTTCCAGGAAAAAAGGAAGAGGCTGAGCAGACTGACATTATGTCTAATCTATATACCTTTTACCTTGTTAAAGAGGCAACCATCCCACCAGGAGCACAAGTCTCTTGAAATGTGCACCTTTGTCCTTTGGTTTTAAAAAGTCACATCCCAAAGCACTGAGTAGATCGCATGACACTTACTCTCTTGGCTCCCAGAGATGAAAGGCTGACCCAACTCTCCTGGAATTTGAACTTGTGATTCCCTGAAGTAAAGAGATATCAAAGTTGTTACTGAAACATCTAAATAATCCTCCACAATTTCATGTGTCTCCAGGCCAAACCAGCAAAATAGCTAGAGCACATCCTTTTCTACAGGTAAAGAGCTGATATCTGGGCGATCTTTCCAATTACCTGCTCCTCTGTTTCCCCCCTATTTTGCCCTTTTTAGAAGGTCAATGCTGAGTTAGGACTTTATGCTATACAATAGGCTGCTGTCTACCGCCATATCACCCTGAATGCGTCCGATCTCGTCTGATATACAATAGGCTGCTAATATTCCATGCTGGACATTATTTTCCCAGCATTTCTTATAGGGTGCCAGGCTTTTCTTAGACTTTATGTCATACAATACTTACTTGTTTGGAGTTGTTGAGATGGAAACATAGTCTATTGAAAACATCACTGCTTCCTCTCTGAAATTTAAAGAGACTATTATCATCCTTCTTTTAGATACTGTTTCTCAGGCAAAATCTCATAAAGATAGGTGGGGCAAAAAGAAGGGCTTATGATATCCACAGGGTTAGCTTTTGACAAATGAATACTGTGCTACTAAATTCCTATCAATAATAATATAAATGGGGCCCAGCTCACTCTCGTGGTAAGGGACGGTACCCCTCCGTAGTTTAGAGTTTTGCCTTACCCTCTAAACAAGCATATACCACCATCTGGGATCATGGGCAGCTTATAACATTGTCAATTATTATTATTGGAAAGATATTTGGATCTTGAAGCATGCAAAAATGTTTTATCTTTTGGGGAAGTAATATGGTAGAATGGCTAACTGGTGAGCTCCAGAATCAGAGGAAACTGGTTGTTTTGCTTTTCTAAGCTTCAGATTCCTTAAAGGTAAAATGAACAAGACATATTATCCATCCCCAAGAGAACTAGGAAAATTAAATAAGAAAAATATGTGCAATTAACATATATAATGTAGTGCCCAGCCCTGAGCGAGAGAAGTATCTTATTAAAATAATAAATTGTCTAATTATTAGTCCTAGGTCTATCAGTTTGTTTTTTATGTGACCTCAAGCAAGTCACCAAATCTTAGCAAGCCTTGGGTTGTAAATAAGACTGATGCAAATAATATCACCTTACTGGAGATTACCATGTAAACTATAAAGTGTCTGCAAATGTTAATCAAGGTTATTTTTACTGCCATTGTTATTAGCTCTCAGTGATCTTTTCAATCAAAAAGTTTGTGGATTGCTTTCCTTTGTAAAGCCAGGAGCTAGGATAAGAGCCAAGAGACAATGGGAGAATGTGAATGTCATGTAATACTTCAGGGCATTTTCCAGCTTCCTAAATATCTGTGTATGGTACACAATGTGTTCTAATATATATCACAAATTAAGATGTTCTGAAACTTATTCCCTGATGAGTTGGTTAACATTTCCTTCGAAGTGATAAATTTCCTCAACCAACCTGAGTGAGCTAAAGGGCCAACATTTTTTTTTTTTCAATAATCTTACCTTCCCTGGTGTCAATAGGAAACAATATTTACTCACTACTGTTTTCCTTTCAAAAATCTGTCTAGTTGCATACTAGAAACAGTGTCAGCTGGTTTGTTTGTCTTGGACAAGCTGTTGAAGTGAAAAGTTTTTGCTTGGCTGAATGTGGGACAGTTTCATAACCCTTCAAGAAGTGCATTGAAGGTGGGTGCCAGTTCCGGCTGCTTCTAACATGCCTCCACTTGCTGCCCATTGTCAAGGGTGGCCAATGTAATTAAATTAAGACAATAAGCAAAGCAACAGATGCGACTGAGACCAAATCCCTGAGTGCTTTTGTTTTGTCACTGTCATTGTCTGCAACAAAGAAGTCACATGTGAGAGCCTGGGAAGGGAGCCAAATGCAAACCAGACAACATCCCAGCTGGTTTTGAATGGCCTCCACCTTACGCATGTGTGTATGGGAACCATGCTACTTGGAGCAGTGTCTGCTCTACTCAAGTTAGTTTCTGCCCGTGGCTTTGCTGCAAGGCTGAAACAGAAGAAATAAGCCAGAGGATCCCTGTGCTCAGATTGACAGTTTACACCTCTGCTTTGAGAGAAAAGAAGAAGAATCTCTCTGTTGGGGAAAAGGATAAGATCCATATGGTTGACCAATCTAACCTCAATCCTTTTTGTTACAGCTCTTCATGAATTTGAAGAGGGACAGACATATACAAGATACCTGAATTTTTTCTTCTGTAAATCTGGGATTAATTTGGCTTGAGAGAAAGACTGGAGATTAAACACCTCATCTTTTAATTTGTTACTATTTCATTCTTGAGCATTTTTCCTAGTGTGCTCATTATCCAGATTCTTAAAATCTTTTTCTAAGCTGGTATGCCTCTTAAAGAGAAAACAAGGCAAACTCAAATTAGCATATTTTTAGATCTGTTATTTAATTTGATTAGTAGTTTGGTAGAGAAGTGGTATCCTTAATAATGGCCATGTGGGGGTTTTGATGAGCCACATACCATCTGCAGGGTTCATTGCATACTAAACAGAAATATTTCAAGGAGTTTGGGACAATAGTGATCCAACTCTGTAGCCCCATTTGTTTTTCTTCCATTTTTCAGGAGAACTCCTTTAAGAATGCAGATTGGTGGGGGGTGGGAGGGATGGGGTGGCCGGATGATAGACATTAGGGAGGGTATGTGCTATGGTGAGCACTGTGAATTGTGTAAGACTGTTGAATCACAGACCTGTACCTCTGAAACAAATAATACATTATATGTTAAAAAAAAAAAAAAAGAAGAAGATAGTAGGAAGGGTAAAATGAAGGGGGGAATCAGAGGGGGAGACGAACCATGAGAGACTATGGACTCTGAGAAACAAACTGAGGGTTCTAGAGGGGAGGAGGGTGGGGGGATGGGTTAACCTGGTGATAGGTATTAAAGAGGGCACGTATTGAATGGAGCACTGGGTGTTATACACAAACAGTGAATCATGGAACACTACTTCAAAAACTAATGATGTAATGTATGGTGATTAACATAATATAATAAAATTTTTAAAAAATGCATCTAAAAAAAAGAAAAAAAAGAATGCAGAATAACATGTAAGATTAGGAATATAAATTTACTGGTAGCTTAACAGTGGATATTTTTATATCAACAAATGCATGTTAAGTGGACTTGGTAAAGTTGTATGGTATCTGGGGGAAAAGTGCCAGTATTTTAAACAGATGCATTTCAAGCTATCCTATACAAATGCCAAACTTCTCCCCATAAGTTTTTAATGGCCACTGAGCTAGTTATTTTAATAAACATATTTACACAATGAAACTATCTTCCTTCTATTTAGTCAGTACAGGATATTGACCATCAACGTACAAAGTGCTAACTAGCTTTTTTGAAGGACTTGATAACTCTAACATTTCAGGTAGAGCTGAAAAATATGTGTAAGAAAAATTACCAAATCCCTATGGGCCTTAGCCAATAGGTATTATTTCCAGGGATTGTAGTCGATTCTGTCCCAGCTTCTCACACCCTGCAGGTCTCAGGTCTGAACACTTTCCAAAGTCCTTTACAATGACCTATAAGTTCCTGGGTTGAGAGGTCATTATTTTAGCCAGAAGGAAGAATTTGGAGATTCCAGACACCTTTAGTGAGAACTCTTGTTTTTGGTCATGATGAAAACATGTTCTGGGAAAAGGGGATATTGTGGATTCTTGAACTTTATTCTGTACCAATAATGATTCATTATGTCCTCCTCTAAGGGCCTCCTGGTTAGAGGTGAAACCAAGAGAAAAGCTCCTTATGTTTATGCATGCAGATGCCATTTCCTCCTGGATTTAATCCATATCTTATTTGTATAAACTTTGCTATTTAAATATATTCAAGGATAAAATAATAACTATAGGAAAAGTATAATGACTTGATTCTATACATTATTAGAGGGCCCAGTATAGTCTTTTAATTCATTCTATAGCTATTTATTGAGCAACTGCAATATTCCAGGCATTGTTTTAGAGAAAGGGATATAACAGTGAACAGACAGAGGGGTCTCTACTATATAGGGCTTCTATTCTAAGCAAAACTCAATATTCCTTGGATAACAGCATTGCTTGCTAATAAGTGAATGGTAGCACTAAAGCAAGGAACGCAGGGTTTTTATTGCAGGAATAGTTTCCAATAAAGATGAAATAATAATAATAACAAGTAAATAATGATAACTAATACTTATGTAGTGCTTCCCATGTGCCAGGCCTATTATAAGTCTTTTTAGGTACTAATTCTTTAATTCTTAATCCTACAAGGTAGGAACTATTATTATGCTAGTTTATAGATGAAATTGAGACACAAGAGATTGCCACTTGCACAAGTTCACATAACTAAAACTGAAAGAGTCAAGATTTGAACCCAGCTCAGTACGTCTGTGATTTTACAGATTCTAAGTCAATTACAAAACTTCCCAATCTCCTACTTCTAAAACTCTCCCTTTCTCCATAGGAGAAAAAGAAAAAAAATGAAAAATGTCTCCTTTTTACAAAAATTAAACCAAAACAAAATGCAATAAAACTACAGAGGATGATCCCAGAATGTGTTCCTTTTTTTTTTTCCCCTCTTAGTAGGAAAAGATGCCATGGGCCAGAATTCTGTATTTTTCAGTCTCCTTTGGTCAACGAATCCACGATAGTGGCAGATGAATAGAAACACATTTCTGTGTGATTAGAAAGCAATCTGTAGTCCCCATGACACCAGGGGCACATAAAAGTAGCCTGAGTAAAGTTTGACTAAACTAAAAACTAAAGGCCTATCTACTTTCTTAGAAAGTATGTCTTTCTTAGAAAAGAAACAGGCTCAAGCTGTCCGTGAGATTGACTGATGAAGTATCAAATATGAAAGGTTAAGACCCAGTGTTAGAAATAGATGGGTAGGGTACATAAAACTTCATCAAATTAATGTCACTTTTTCTCCCTTATTTTTAGGAAGTACATTTGAAGAACGCAAGTAGAGGGAGTGCAGGAAACAAGAACTACAGAATGTAGGAAGACATTCCTGAATTGTGAAGAATGACATGCCACCAGCAGGATCATTTGCTCTGTAGGAGTTACCTGATAAACATCAGAAGACTTACCAAAAAAAATAAGTTTGATAACATTTCATAAGATGGGCATTCCTCCCAATGAAATACGCAAGTAAACATTCCAACATTGTCTTTAGGAGTGATTGTTAAAAGCTTTGCACCTTGCAAAAATGGTCCTGGAGTTGGTAGATTGTTGTTGATCCTTTATCAATAATGTTCTATAGAGAAAAATATATATATAAATATATCTTAGTCCCTGCTTCTCAAGAGCCACAAATGCATGGGCGTTGTATAGATCCAGTTGCACTAAATTTGTTTCTGAGTCTTGGCTGCTGGAGCCATTCATTCAGCAGTCTTGTCTAAGTGGTTTATTCTTTTTTTTTTTTTAATTTGCACTTCTTTC